TAGTCATCTTTATTAAAACCGAAAGTGAAAAACTTAGTTAAATTTTCTCGGCCAAATATTAATTTTTTTCCCGGGCAAAAAAATCATAGTTAAAACTTGAGTGATGAAGAAGTGTAGAAAGCAAAATGTTTCAACCAGATTAGTATTATTTTTTTAAAAATTATCTCAAAGATTTATATATAACTAATAATTGTTTATTTAATCTATTAATATACTAATATGTGTGTGTGTGTGTGTGTGTAAGTAGATTATGACTAGGATACCTAACGGCCTCGTTTGATTTGGCTGGAATATGAGAGAAGGAAAATGCCAGAATGGAAAAGGCTAAATTCCTGCGTTTGGTTCACTTAAAATTTCCTTCAGTATAATTGATTTACCGACAAGAACCTGAAATTTAAATCCTTTAGCCAGACCCAAGGAAAATATATTTTTTCCTGAGACTTTTTAAAATCCCAACAATAACATGGTCCGCCCACCACTCATTTCCATTAAAAAAATTATATTCTTGAGAAAACATTACTAATTCCTTAAGCACAAATTTCGTCTCCACTAATGTAACACTTGCCTCTAGTGTTATCCAAAAATCACATAATTCAAACAAACTAAGTGTGGTTAAGGAGTTGATCCTCTAACCAACTTAAGAAATAAATCATTTAAAACCTTAAAAATAATTATAGGTTCTACCTATAGCGCACGGAAGCAAGTTAGACAAAAATGGAATAAAAAGATGCTGTCATGACAGTAATTTATTGCTGTCATGACAGCCCTCCTGGGCCAACTTCCAGGAGGCGCCATTCCGTCATTTGACCTCCGATTGAAGTGATTTTAAAGCTCACACGTCACATTCAAAGGGTACTATAAGTGTATCAAATTTTAAAAAGATCCAACGGTCGGATTAAAAATTAGACATGTTAAAAGATTGACTATTTTTGCTGTCATGACAGCTAAAAAGCTGTCATGACAGCACCTCCGGACTAACTTCCGGGGTGCACCATTTCATCATCTGATCTCCGATCGGAGTGATTCCAAAGCCCACATGTCACTTTTAAAGAATACTATTAGCATACTAAATTTTGAAAAGATTCAACGGACGGATTGAATTTTATGCAGGTTACAACTTCAACACTGTAGCTATCATGACAGCAATTTAATGCTGTCATGACAGCACCTCCAGACCAAATTCCGAAGTGCGTCATTTCTCCGTCCGATATCCGATCGACGTGATTCCAAAGCCCACATGAAGCTTATAAAAGGTTTTACTTGTGACCCAAATTTTAGAGAAATCCAACGGTCGGATTAAGATTTGGACACCCAGATGCAAAAGTGCAGCTTTTTGGTAAAAACCATTTTCAAAATTGTCCAAATCTCATCCTAATGGTCACAAACCTGTGGGAACACTTTGGACACGTCAAATAAGATTAAAAACACCTGATAGAACATTCAAATGATGGAAAAACCCCATACATCAAAATTTTACCACCCGGGTGCCATTTCCCAAAATGGACCCTAAATCCCCAAAATGCACAAATCATACAAGAGTGGTCACAAATCAATCCAAATACCATGTATTTATATAAATATATATGCTAAACATTTTCACTTAGCTCAGAGCTTCTTGTGGGGCCCACGCACCCACTCTCTCTATCCAAGGTGTATGTTTGCCCATAGCACACCATTTGCAATGCAACCACTTTGCATTTGCTTATAAAATCACATATATATCAAAATAAAGATCTGCTTGTAATAGAAACTTGGTCTACTAAGTAAATCCATCAAAACCACACACCATAACCAAGTTTCCTAGCCACAAGTCTGCAAACAGATAAAAATTCATACACAAGCACACAATCCACACATATTCACACATACATACATAATCATATCCTACTGGCACCCTAATCTTAAATACATTACAATATATTTGCTCAAAAGAAAGGGGTTGCAGTTCTTTACAAATCACAAGCAAACCCCTAGCTTTGCTCCTTTCCCCGTCCACCACTGGATCCTTCGCCTGGACCTAGAATATTGAAAAGAAAGGGGTGAGACAACCACAGTCTCAGTAACAGTGAAATCTATATTGATTATTACAAAGCAAGCCATAATCAAATAAATGAATAATAAATTCAACATAGTATATAATTTAGCCATTTAAAATGCATGAATGCATGACCTAGGCCGGTATGGCCTTTCATGACCAACAGAATGCCCCCTGGCACTCTTTAACTCGCAGGTAAACCTTATACCTACTTGTACCTCCACAGGCACAAAACATAATCTAAGGCATGATCTAATCCACCGAACCTCCTATGCCCCTTCGACGTGAATCCTAAGCAGTTGAAGCTAACTCCCTCCCAGAGCCAGCCCAACTTACTTTCTATGTGAGGGCTACCTTGGCCTAGGCACTCAACCTCACACTTCATATGTTGGATTCCCTCCCCTACTGAGAGGTGTCGAACACTCAATACACTAACCACTTTAGTGCACTGAGCCCACAATACGTAAGACAACACTGAGTACTGACAGTGTGCCATAGAATATCAAAAATCCACACCTTCTCATTGGTGAACTCCCACCGAGATCATGCCTTTTACTCTTGTCTACCTTTCCTGAGTATTGACCATTCAACACTCTAAAGTAGTATAATATTTATAAATCTCATTTCCATAAAAACATTGTTATTAAACAATTAGAAAACATATTTGCACTATAATCAAAGTAGTACCCCATAACCCCTTATAAAGCACATTTAATCTTTTAAAACATGTAATGCATGATAACTAGTAATATTTATTCAAAAATAGCTAAAACAAAGTAATAAGAAATATAAATTTCCCTGTTACCTCAACCCTTTGATACTAAAAGGGTTCTCCTTGTGCAAAATAGGGCTCGGCTTGTTCCTTACTTCTCAATAAGTTCCACCAACAATTTTCTACAACATATAAGTGATCCACATCACTTATCATGACAAATAGCATTAATAAAGACTATAACTCATACTACACAACTTAGGTCAATGAGTCATAATTCATCCTAATGGTCCATATATTAAACCAACCATTCACATAGTATCACTTAACCACCAAAACCATTTATTAGCCATCACTAGGCTAATTTTCAATTTATATAATTTTTTATCAATTAAAAACCTTCACTTAGTGTCACCAACTTTCACCATTAGCCCTTATAATGAAAACCAAACCTTAATTTAAATCTTATTGGGCTCAAATAGCAAAATTATAACTAAATCAATAGGCTTAAACCATTGAGGAGCAAAAACCCAATTTCTCAAGGTTTATTTTGTGCCCAAAACACCTCTTTTCATCCAATTATTCACTCAAAACACTAGATCACTATATAGAAACTCAAAACATGCTCCCTAGAATCCAAAGAAACAAAAGCTTACAAGAATAAAGCCTTTAGGATCAAAATCCAAAAATTTTCTCTTCCAAAATTGAAGAAAATCAAGAGAAAGAGAAGAGGATTGAAGTAGGGAGTTTACCTATCGTGTAGCCGAGCTCGCAACGGTCGCAAAGACTCCTAAATCCAAGCCTAACTCCCTCCCTTTCTCTTCTCTTCTTCCTCTCTCCCTCTCATACGTTTCCTTTCCTTTCCTTTCCTTTCCAATTCAATTTCTGCATTTCTGCATCAATTTGGGTCTTTAAATTGCTGGTCAAAAAGTTTGGGGAAAATTACAAGAAAGGGCCCAACATTTTTTATTATTGCACAAAAGCCCGGGTCAACTTTGATAATTTTTTCCATAGTTAAAAATCAAATAAAACCAAAATTTTGCTTAGTAAAATTCAAACTCTGGGCCTCTATTAAATTATTCTAAATTTTAATTTAATTATAGATATTTTATTTATTTTTATTTATTTTTTTTAAATAAATTTGAGTCTTAAAATTTTTAGGATGTTACAACTAACCAATTTATTTTAGGTGTGGCAAAAAAAAACTAATTTATTTTAGATCTGTCATTGAATACTTCAGAAGTTTTAAGATTTTTTTTTTTAAGCGTATGGAATAGACACCACCAACTTTCTCGAAATACTGAGAACAATAAATAGATGTGTGTAAATCTTAATTAAATGATGAGAGCTTTTATCACTAACACCAATTTTAATTGGTAAATTTTTAAGATTTATAACCCATGACGATTTAACTCCATCATAGTGAAGATGTGTGTAAACTAGTCGTAGTATTCCCTCCACATCTTTTCATTAAAGACATTTAGCAATTTAAATTTTATTCTTCCAAAGTAACATTTTTTAACAATTTTGTGTGTAAACTCAAAACTGTGTTTGAATTAGATATTAAAATTTAAATAAATTAGTATGCATTTTTTAAAATTAAAAGTCAAAGTCAATTAAACAAACACATAATCAACATTATCCATTAAATAAGATTATGATTATATAAATAAATTATTATAACATTATAATAAAAAAAATTATCCAGGAAATAATGCCATTCTGTACTGAAGCAATATTTGTATATCTTCCATTAATTAAATACCCCCCGTTCAAAAATGTAATACATTTTTTAAGAAATTAAATATTAAAAAATATAAGACATTTTTAGTCTTTCGATGTGTAATCATTGCTTTTTTTTTCAAATGTGTCTCTATTGATAATGAATTTATATTTATTATAAGATATTTAATAAGGGTGAATATTTCAAGATAAGGTTAGTTTGAAAGTAGGTAACTACTTTATTAAGGGTGAGATTCGGTTAAAAATGCCTTACATTTTTCAACGGAGAGAGTATCTCATTGATTGAAGTTTCAAAACAAATATTTAACTTCACTAATGAGCACAACATGTGTACAAAATCCAGAACTATGAACTTTAATTTACTACTACTTTACCCAAAAGAAGTGGGAGTGTTCATTATAATCAAACACAACAGTTTTCTCAGTGTTTGAAATGCTCAACTTCACTAAGAAAAGTAATCTGGCATTCCATAATCAGAGCATCTTCATTAAGATCCTTCAACGATATGAATTAACTGAATCCCCATTTATTTGTCACGTGACTGAACCATGATGCACCTGCAACATCTAAAACAACCTATTAATATTAATGCTCAAAAAAATTGAATGATCACTAAAAATATAAATATAAACATTCGTGTCATAAAGATGTCGAAAAGTACCATTCAATTCGCGAGTTCTCGATGGTGCAGATTGATTCTTAAGGTGTAATGTGTACTCGGCGAACCATTTCTTTCTTGCCATCGAGCTTTCATCTTCATTCAAGACCAAAAATATGGACAGAAACTCATTTTTGGGAGACCTATCACCTCTGGGATAAACTCTCAGCTTCCTTAATTACAAATTAAACACAAAACAGAACATTAGCATTAAAAAATTTATGAAGATTCGGGGGGTAAAAACTAAGAAAAATGATTTTTCTTTTTTTACCATGTTTTGCCTTTAATAGAGAATGCTTCGGAATCACAAAATGCCTCCACAATCTGCGAGTATTTAGACAAATTCCATGTATAGGAATCCTTAAATTTGTCATCCAGTGTTGAAAGACATTCCCAATTTCCAGAACACTGAACAACAAAGACCTCAGCTCCAAATACACAAGAATCGTCAACAAGATATCTATTAGATCCATTACCAATGTCTTTGAATGTATCCATAGGAAGCAAATCATCAAAACCTCACTGTGTCTTCCCCACATGAAAATGTTTCAACTCATTCTCTACATCTGTAATAATTCAAGGGGGGAATCAAGAATTGTTAAGCACAAGGTTGCACTTGCTTACCATCCTCAAACTAACGGGCAAGCTGAGATTTCTAATCGAGAAATCAAGAAGATACTTGAGAAGACGGTAGGAGTGACAAGAAATGATTAGTCCACCAAACTTGACAATGCATTGTGCGCTTATTGAACGGCTTACAAAACTCCTATTGGAATGTCTCCATACCGATTAGTTTTTGAAAAAGCATGTCATCTCCCCGTAGAGCTGGAACATGGTGCCTATTGGACTATCCAAAAGCTCAACTTTGATTTTAAGGTTGTAGGTGAAAAGAGACTTCTCCAACTAAATGAACTTGATGAATTGCGGTTCAATGCTTATGAGAATGCTAGACAATACAAGGAAAAGACAAAGAGATGGCAAGACAAGAAAATTTTATGCAAAACATTTGAACCAAGCTAAAAAGTACTTTTATACAACTCTAGATTGAGGTTATTTCCTAGCAAACTCATGTCTAGATGATCGGCACCATTCACTTTAGTCCAAGCTTTCAATCATGGTGCCGTTGAGCTAGAGAGCATTGAATGAGAAAGATTTAAAGTCAATGGGCAATGATTAAAGCATTACTGGGGTGGTGAGGTACACTGTGAAGCAATCACCTTGCCCATATCTGATGCCTCTTTAAGAAGAGAAGAGTCAGGCTGAATGATTATAAAACAAGTGCTACTTGGAAGGCAACCCAAGCTCGAAACCTTCTCTTTTGATTTTTCCTTTGTAGTTTAGTTGTTTTGGTAAAGTTATGTATGATTTTGTGTCTTTTGTAGGTTAACATGAAGATATATATGAGGAAGTGTGAGCCTTTGAAAAAAAACAAGAAATGTGGCCAAAGATTAAAAGAATCTAAGAGGAGGGAAAATTTCAGGGAAGTCAAGCCACTTAAGTTTCTTTTATGATTATAAACTTGTCTTGGCAATTATTTTGAACTTATTGAAGTGAATGCAAATTTTTTATGGTTTAATTCCCATAAAAAATGGTTCTTTTTTAGGGTTGATGGCATTTTAATTGAAGGAAATTATGTATGGTTGATGAATAATGGTTAGAGATTGATTTTGGAGTGAATATAGTGCTTGGAAGAGGTTTTAAGTAGTAAACAAATCAGATTTTTGAAAACAGAGTGCTGCAGAATTTTGCTGTCAAGAAAGTTCTGACAAAAGTCATGACTTTGGGCTCACGACTTTGAGATTTCAGAGAAGATAAAAGTCGTGACTTTTATTTCAGGCTTAAACCTAAAGTCGTGACTTTCATCTTCTCTAGACTTGTTTTTTTTTATAAAAAAATTTGGGTTTTCTTTTTCAATATATATATATATATATATGTAATAATAATAATAATAATTTTCCTTTTCTTCCCCTTATGTGCTATGTTTTACAGTATTTAAAATATATATATATATATAATATTAATAATAATTTTTTTTCTTCCCCTAATGTGCTAAGTCTTGTAGTTTAAAAAAAATTATTTTTGACCCAAATTTGAAAACCCTCAGCTCCCTTTATTATTTTCCATTTCATTACCTCACCCGTACTCTGCCTCTCATCTCGCTCCACCGCTGTCCGTCAGCCTCTTTGCATCTACTTGCCTTCACCGTTGACCTCCATTTCTTCTCATTCCCTTCATTATTCACCATTAACACCCACACAGCCCCTTATTTCTCATTCCCTGTGCAACCACTGCTTCCTCCCTCACTCCACCATTTCTGTTCAAGCTACCGTCACGTTTTCTGATTCTCATCGATTCGTCCTTGTTTCTTCTTCATAAGCTTCAATCTTAGCTCTTCCCAGATCATCGCTGTCAACCACTTTCTCTGGTCCAGTCGCTCAAAAGCATCTCATTTCACTGCCATTTCCATTGGAGCTACACTATTCACCACAGCTTTCTAGCCGTAGCCCCTGCCACTGCTACTGCTTCTTCCTCCCTGCCATAGCCAATCATGGAGCTCTAGGGTGCTTCTGCTGTTATGAGTCTCATCTCACTCAATCTCCCTTGGTGTTTCCTTCATTCTTGCTTTCAGCCACAGTTCATCATCGTCTTCACCATTGTCCTGCTTGCAGCCACAAGCCTGCTCCTTGGTTCATGATTTTCATTCTTGAGTAGGTCTTCACTATCATCTCTTTCCTTCTTAAACCCATTTATGCTTTGTCTGTAAATCACAAGCTGAAATGTGCACTTTTTTTTCAAGATTCAAGTGCCTTGAATCTTGTCGTTGCCCAGCTGCTGTTATGTGCATTATGTTGTTATGAATTTCAAATCTCCTTTCATTGTTGAGTAAAGCTTTGATTATTGCTTTGGCTAGGTCTAAAATTACTCTCATAATTTCTGCCATAAAGCTCACTGTTTGAGTTTCTTCATCCCTATCCTTATCGTCTTCTCACTTCATAATCTTGCATTTATTATCTCTTTGTACTTTAAGGTATGCTATCATGCCAGCTTCTTTGTGTTCATGTGGTTTTGTTGGTTGAGATATTTTAGTATTAATTTTTGATTTGATTTTGCTACTGGAGCTGAATTCAATGGTGTTATAAATTTATGAGAATGCATTGGCATTTTGATAGTGATTTTGTGCCTTATTTCTAATTGTAATGCTAATTTGGATAGTGGTTTTGAGATTAGGTAGAGTTATATTTTTGGAATTCTCGCTGGGGCAAACTTGGGCATCAAAGGGTATAAGCACATCTCTGCTAGAGATTGAATTTTGGATGACAATGAATTGCATTTGCTCTAGTAATAATTTTTATTGTTTGACTGACACAATGGAGATGCTCGTTGCGAATTTTTCACTGTTAAGACTTACTTTTGTTGATTTTTGTGATTTACTCTGGCAATAAAGTTGCAATTATGATGATGCACTATCCTCACTTTGGGAATTTAAATTGTTCTTCATAATTATATAGCCTTTATTAGGTTTGTATCCTGATTATAGCCTCCACTGGGCCTGAGTCTTGTTTGTTTGGTTGTATGGCACAGCTTATATTTTAAGTTAACAGCAAGTTTTGTGTTGAATTCATTGTATTCTTATGCTTCTGATTTATAGGTTATTTTTGCTTTTGCTGTTTGTGGTCTCAGTTTGCTGTGTTTTGGGCATTTATGCAAGTAATGGGTAAGAAAAGTGTCTCACTTTCTAAAAAAGCCAAGGTCACTGAGGTTGGTGAAAGTTCCAAGGGATCGGGATGGGATAAAACTCGATTTTCCAATGTTGTGATTCAAAATTATTTTGAGCAAAATTTGAAGGAGAGAAAAATAGTCCAAGAAAGACCCTTCCCTTTGAGATGGTCTGAACAATTTTACAATAATTTACATGATGTCTATCATGCCACTAGCCTCATCCTATGAATGAAGTCATGCCTCTCAGCCGCTTGTTGAAGCTTAATATGCCTATGCTACTTATAAGGATACATTGCGATGCAAGATAAGGGGCAAATGGGTAGAGATCACTAAGGACATATTTCGAAAGGTATACAACCTTTCTACAATAGAAGAGTGCCAATATACCATTTACAAGAATGACAGAAATCAATTGCCATTTGATGATGTAGCCTGAGTACTATGCCTTCCTGATAAAAATATTTGGCAACATGACACTCATGGCAATCCCAAGAGCATTTTGCACTGTAATTTGAACAGGACAACTAGCATATGGTGGCATTTCTTGGCATTTAATGTTATCCCAATGATCTATATGAGTGATGTGATGTTGATCAAGTTGCCCTCTTGTATACTTTGATGATGAGGCAACCTGGTGACTTTCCAAAGATCATGTTTAAGTACATGTGAAAGTTACCCAGAAGTAGATATCACAAGCAGGCATTTGGATTTCAACACTTGATTACTCAAGTATGCTTAGAAAATAAGGTTCCCACTTATCTGAAGGATCTTATGCTCCTTCCTTTGCCAAAGTTCAATTACAAAAAAATTCAATGTGCTAAGGGACCAAGAGATGTGCCAGATCAAGCTGCGGATGGCAGAAGGCATATTAATCCACCTCATGTTAAGCCTACACTGAGTAACCTCATAGCACTCATCCAGAATATGCATGAGGGTCTCTAAAGCCAGCTGGATTAGATTGACTTCAAGCTCCACCACATTGAGTTATTCTTGCATCAAAGATTTCAGTTGGACGTGCCAGAGGAAGAAGAGGAGGCTAATACTGATATTGACTAAGACTCTGGCACTCACACTAACTAGCTTCACCCTTCTTTACTTTACTGCCTTTTATTTCTATTTTTAATTCTAACTAGCTGTTGATTAGCTCTTTTTAAATAAATATGGTTAGCCATTATCTTTTGATATCTTTTGTGTAAGGCTAAGTTTGATCTTTTTGTAGTTAATATGTGATAACTTGACTGATCTCTTGCAACCAATTATTCTATGATAACTTATGCACATATTGGTATAGTTAGTTGTATTTTTGGACTGCTTGTAGATATATTTCAATTATACTATTACAAGTTTTTGATTTTTGTGCCTCTTACGCAACTTTTTGGTTACTAAGTTGCATGAGAGAGGGCCCTCATTTTACCCTTTTGACAGTGTGGACACTGTTCAATTTAAGTTTAGGGGTGAGGGTATTATTTTGGTTCATTTGACATGAACTTCAATTTTAAAACTTAGCTATTTATTGTTCTTTTTTTCTACAATTTGAGCTAGATTGAGAAATTATTTATTGAACTGAATGCGTGATCCAATGATAGAATGTTGCTTAAACTGTATGTTTTATAGGAAGTTGTGATCAATATTTTGGCATGCTTGATTTACAGGGTTAAGGCTTGCTTTCTAGTAATTTGTCAATTTTTTTTTTACACTTTTGAATTAGACAATGATTTAAATACACTAGGAATTTTTATGGCAAGTTGATGTCCATTTTCTTTCTCAATTGAGAAACTCTAGAACCTATCTTGAAATCTCTTAAGGCATTTTAATCACTTCGCATGATATTAAAATATGATTTGGGCATTTTTTCAAATGCGTTTGAGCCTTTCAAGCCTACCTATTGCATCATTTCCACTTGAACCCCTTTTTGAGCCTTGAATTGAAAACCATGTGTATTTTCCTTTTGAAACCCACATTAGACCCTAGCCTTTACAACTTGAAAAACTATGAACTATATCCTTTTGAGATAAGTGATAAAAAAAATTATGTTAGTGGTGAAGATTGGTTTAGTTGTTAAAAGAGGTGTTGTTGTAAATTTGGGTATGAGGAATGGCAATGAAGTTTGGAACACTACTAATTGTGCTCCTAAAAAAATGTATAAAAAAAGGGAGATTAAAAAAAAGAGAAGAAGAGAAGTTTTAATTTCAATAAATTTAGAATTTAAAGAATGGTATTTGAAATAAGTTTGGGGGAAGGTATTTAGCTAGCAAGGATGGAATGGTTGGTTTCTCATTGTCATTTATCTCAAGCTCTTTGAATTTCATTTATCCTTTTCTTTCAATTAGCCCAAAACCTTTAGCCACGCTACAAGCTTACAAAGTCCTATTAATTTTGGATTATGTGAAGTGATCTTTTAGTGAAGAGAGAAGAAGAGTTTAGGCATATGAAGTCTTGATATTGAGTTGTTACATCTTGACTTGATAGTTGCAAAAAAATCATTCTCTGGTCTTACACACACACATTTCTAAATTGTTAAAAAGCATGATCTTAATTTGTGAATCGGGCATTCCTTTATATTTTACTGCTGTCCTCTTTGATATACATTTGGAGCAACTAGTGAGGATATTTTCATGCATGCTTAATAGATGAATAATTGGTCAATCTAGTTATTTTATTTCTTGTTTTACTCAAGGACGAGTAAAAATTTAAGTTTGGGGGTTTGTTAACCTTTAGAATTTCATGTTATTTCATCACATTTTTCTCATATTCTAATTCATTTTGGCTCAATTGTATATGTTTTTATTGCCCAAATTAGGAAAATGTGCATTTTGTTTTGGGTTTATACTCTTGGCTTTGATTTGATATTTTTAGCCTAATTTTATGTTATTTTGGTTGAAGTTTTGATTAGAAATATTTCTAGAAATTTGTGGATGTTTTTGGAAGGCTTTTGGATGAAGAAATCAAGAATAAAATGAATGATTTTCGTTAGCTAAAAAAATAGTACAAAACTGCCAAAGTTGTCTCAAAGTTGTGACTTTCGTTCACGACTTTTGCCGCTATTAGAAACATGCTGCGTTTCATTTATCAGAAATTAGTTGGCTAGGACATATATATGCTAAGAGCTTGACCCAAAACACAACACATTCTTCAAACTTTTAAACACATTTAAAACTTGGGCGTGCTAGGGTTTGGGCATTGGAAGTGCTTGAAGCAAGGGAATGGAGTTGTAAAGACATTTGAAGCTCTTTTTCTTCAGTTTTTCTATTCTTCTTCCCTTTCCTTTCTTGTATTCTAAAATAAGTCCACTTATTTTGTATATTTGTAGCTTGTGGATAATTATGAGTAGCTAAACTCTTTGTTTTAAGATTATTTAGAATCCTTGTATGGATTAACATAATGTTCATCCTCTCTTTTTATAATTAATGATATATATGTGTTTATTTTACTCCTTCCTTAATGCTTCTAAGTGATTAGCTATCATTTAGATATTAGGTTCACTTAATTGATACTTGAGAGGGCTAGGTTGAATGTAAAACTTAA